TTCTTCATTACAAATAAAACATCTACATTTTTTAATGTTTCTTGGTTTAAATTTCTTATTCCAATTTCTTTTCTTGAAGTATTTTTTATGTGGTTTAAAATTTCTTTTATTGAACTTTTTATAGTTTTTGAATCTCCTTATATATTTCTTATATGGTTTAAACTTCTTTTTATAGCATCCAAATTGTTCTATCTGACCATTATCTTTGTAACAACATAATGAATTTTTTCTTATTTTATAAGCTTTCTTATTTTCTAGTGCTTCTCTACACCACATACTTATCATTCTTTTTGTAAATTCAATTCTGCTTCCAAGACTATCTATTTCAATTCCTTCCTCTTTTCCTAGAGGCAATAATTTCTCATATTCTTTTAGTAACTTAATTCCCCATGGGAATGGTAACTTTGTAAAGTAAGATCTTAAAATCGGTTTATTTTCTTGATAGTCTCCTTGATTTAATACATAGTATAATTCTTCAAATTTACATTTATATCTTTCTAACTCACACATATCACATATCTTTAGATTTTCCATTGCAATCATTCCTTGGTTATATTCTTCTTGTGTTCTTTCTTCTTCATTAGAGGTATGTCTATTTCCTAGAAATTCTATTCTTAAGATTTTTTCAAATCTTTTTAATATTTCTTGTATATTTTGTTCATTTAAAGAATTTCTATTATCTAGTACTTCAGTTCTATTTGCTCCATATTTTACACCTCCTTTGATGGTTTCTGGTAACTTTCTCCACCATTCAGAGACAGTTCCTCTAAATGTGTGTTCTATAAATCCAAAAGCCGTATATGTTTCCCATTTATTAAATTGTATAGCTAAATCTGTACTTTTTATCCATGTTTCAATAGCTTTATTTTTATCTACACAATCTAAATCTAACCATATTCCTGTTGTGTGGATTGGTTCATTATAAGATTTCATTGGATTTATTTCTTTTATAGATTGTTTTCTTACATTACCAGTATATCTTTTCTGGGTTTTTCTATATTGATTAACATCAGCCTTATCAGGTATAGGAGTACCATAAGGAAAGTCTTGTTCTTCATCACTACTAAATTCTACTTTTATATCATGACTTGAAGATGGATTAGTATTCATTTTTATATTCTCCATTTTTTCAGTTAATTCTTCTAACTGCTTTTTATATTCTTCATACTCTTCACCTGTAGATTCTAAGAATTTTTGTTCTATTTCTTCTACATCTGTTATCATATATTGTTTTTCTTCATGCTTTTTTCCTTTATTTTTTGTTATTCTAAAATCTTGGGGTGGATTAATTATAATCCTATCTTTTCTTCTAAGATTATTATCTAATAATGCATTTCCTACTTGTAGATTATATTCTAGATTTTCTAGTCTTTTATGTATATCCTCAAAACTTTCATTCGTAGTGTTTTTAGGTAAATAGGGATAACTAGGTTTTTTATGTTTTTTAACCTTTTCCAAAAATTCTTCAATTATATTTTCTTCATCTACTATATTCATCATAATTTTTAGTTCGTAATCTGGCTCTGATACCATTTGGTCGGAGTGTGCAGCGGAGGGGTTAATATTTTTGAGCCAATTAGATTCTTCAAAAGTATTTAAAATGTCACAATAGAATTTATAAAATTCACTATTTTTTATTAATACTTTTTCTTGAATAATTATGTTTAATTTTTCAATTCTCCTTCTTAAATTAAGAATTAATTTATATATGTCTTTTTCCATTTTGATTGCTTCGTTATCTATAGAATCATTTTTATTTTTTATTTTTGGGTCTAAATATTCTATAAAGAAGTCTTTCAGATCTTCTTCTAGATAGATTAATTCGTTTTCTGTATAGATTTTTAGATCAATAAAATTTTGTATAATATTTGGATCTAGATTTATTAAAAATTTATGATCTATATTTTCTTGAGGACTTATTTGAAGATTTTTAGACATTATAATGGCTTTGGTTGCAATTTCTCTATTAAGGGTATTTTTGGAAAATTAGTTGTTTGGAGACTAGTTTTCAAATGTTTTTATTTCTTAGTCTAATTTGGAAAATCAACCTTCTATTTAAGCTATAAAGCTATATTTCCCATGCCAGGTGGAGTCGGTTGAACCGTTGGATGCAAATGATTTTTTCATTTACCTTGCCCTAGACTCTTCACTTGCCTCATTCATTCGAGAGAGTTCTAGGGTTCTTTGTGGGTCTTCGTTCTCTATTCGTCTCATCTTGAAAACTCTTGGTTTTCTTCTGTAATCTCTTGGTACCTAGATGTTCTTGGTGAGATCTAGTATAGATTATAGTATTTTTGTGATGATTCTACTTACTGATTGAGTGTTTGGTACTGATTACTTTGGTGTAATCTGTGTGAGTGAGAATCCGAAACTTTACAGAGTCTGAGGGCTAGATCTTTTAAGATCTGTTGTTTGTAATCCTTAAACACTTGATATTTTTGCTGGTTCTAGTGGATTGGAGCGATAACCACTTAAAGTGGATGCTCAACGTGGTGATTAGCCCTTTGTGGGTGAACATCCGGGCCTAAGGGCGAAAAATCTTTGGTGTTCTTGCAATTTCTTTTATTATTTTGTTTACTACTGGGACTAAAAATACCTACAAAAGGTATATTTGACACCTCTACCGGAGGAAAACAGGGAATGGCTTATGCATTAGCACAGATGAAAAAACGGTAGATTTTTAGGATATTTTTATAATAAATAAGTGTGCTTAATAGGCACAGTGTCATATTACTACCTAGAAGAAATGGAATAATTTATCCATTATTGTTTGCATTAATTTTTCAGGTCAGCGTACTTCCAACAAATTGACGAGGATATCGAGAATCACGCAAAATCAATTAACGATGTGAAATCTGCAATAACTTCTTTCCAGACATCCGACATGGCTGAGCTCATTAAGTTCCACCAATACTTGGAATCTCACCTTGAGGAATTAACTGATGAAACACAGGTTCAATCGAACGAGTCCCTTATTGATTCCTATAAGCTTGCATAATTGCACCATAAGTATCCCCGGATGATCATGCAGTACAAATCTTTATGCTGCAGGTGTTAACAAGATTTGAAGATTTTCCCACAAAGAAATTGGAAGCATTAAGGATGGCAGCAGCATTGCACTCGAAGTTAGATTCGGTAGCTAACACTTTGCAGAATTGGCCAATAAAGTCACCTTTTGGCCAACTCCTGGATAAAGTTGAGAAATATTTCAATAAGTTAAGCTCAAGGTCAAAATTTGGCTCTGCTCTTATACTCGTTATTGAGGACCTCATTATTGTGATTTAACAAAATAAAAAATGAAATCACCTTCAGATCAGAGGAGAAATAGATACATTGGAGTGGACTAAAGATGATGACTCGATGAAATTTCAAAGTCAAAATATTAATTTTGATTTCAGCATCCTTGTACGTATCAAAGAATTGAGGATTCTACTACCATAACAGAAAGGCATGACAGAAGGAGTGACATGCTGACATGGAATACACTTTGAATTTAAAAAGGGAAAAAAATGATTTTACTGGAACTTTGAAATAGCCCCAAACCGACCCATTTTGAATTTTAAAACCACCAACACTTCATAACCCCCAGAATCAAAATTTTTCCCCAAACCTTTCACTCTCAGAACCTTCAACAATCTCACCCAACCACTCCGAGCCTTCGACGCCGGCACCAAGAGAAGGCAACCGTACATGATAACACTAAATCTGAAGCATTTATTTTCCCCAGAGTCTCACAAATTGTCCAGCACGAACACAAAATCCGAAAGGTTTTCCAGCCCCAAATCTGACGCAGGTAAGTTTGTAGTCTCCGACCATGGGTCAACCAGAAGGTAATTGGAATTTGCAATTTTCGACCCCTATAGCACCGGCTTCGCGACTGGTGGAGATTATGGGATTAATGCAGAATTATAGAATGTTGTTTTGGGTAAATTGGATCCGTGGGTAGAGCCGTCTAGGGGTGGGCAATGGGCCGGTGGTGGTAAGGGACCTTGGATGTCGTCGGAGGTGGAGATTCCGGCAAAAGCATTTTTGCGGCAAATCAGTTTTTTGGGATGATTTCTGATCGATTTTGGTATTTTTTGGCTTGTTTGGAAATTTTGTTATGTTAGCAAAATAGATTCTGTTCAAAGAAAATTGCTATGCATTGTTGGTGTTGTGGTGGGGGATAATTGGTGAGCTTTTGGGAGCAGTTAAAATGATTTCAATATTTTGTATGATTTCATAAATGGATTGGAAAATCCACAACTGTTGAAATGGCTGACCAAGGAGAATGATCTATGTGTCCCTCCTGCATGGCCTCGTGTTTTGTTCGAATGGCAGACTCACGTAGATTCAGGTTCAGGGGCCTCAAGTTAAAGGGGACCTTTGCCTCAGAATTTCAATCAGTTGGACAAAGTAAAGAATCTTGGACTTCAAAGGAGCCATTTCAATGGAAAACTACCAAGTTTTAGTGGATTGTCGAATTTGTAAATTTGTAATTTGCATACTCGGATAATAATGATTTTGATATGATTCCTGCTGATTTTTTCCATGGACTGAGTAGTGTGAAGTAGCAAAGTCTTTGGATGTATTAGTTAAGTAGTGTGCTATTGTAATTGCAATCCTTATATGAAAATTGGATTTCCATTATCTCTATGTTCTATTGTCATATCTTTAGTGCAATGTGGATGCATATTTTCCTGGACACACTCATTCCAGCATGTCTATACCTTTGTGTACATAATGTGGAGGAAAATAACCATGACAACGTTTATATTTTCAAACAATTCCATTTTTCACTTGATCCAAATAAGTTCAACAAAACAACCATAGCAACATCTATATTACATTCATTACATGCCCACAACTAATTGGTTATCCATTAATCAAATTAGCAAAACAATTGAAGCTTCAAGTTGAACGGCTCTCCCACTTCATATATCACTCGCCAGAGCTCTCACGTACATTCTCCATTCAAATACCTATACCTATACCAATACCAAACCAAGGTTAGTTGACACTTGACATTAAATGAGAAGAATAATTGATAGGTTCATGATAATTCGTATTTACCAGATATCTATTTCCATGGTCATTATTCCAACATCATGGGTTTGCACCATTGTTGTCCGACAAATATGGAACATAGTGAGGCATTGCATTATATACTGTACACCCAAAAGTATTAATACACAAGCCAATAAATAGGAAACAACCTCAACTAATTAGAACGACCCCTCATATTTACCTTGACCATTCGGGCGGATCGAACTAGATGACTATAAGTGTTGTGCAAACTCGAAGCTTTGGTTTGCACCCTTCATGGAAAAAAAGTTTTATGTATCGGTCATATATATTTGTACAAAGGAAAATGAACCATGTATACACTAACCATTAGTAGCTGTGAATATGAAAACGGAATCGGTATTGATCGTTGCGCTTCTTGAGTTGTCTGAAATGCGGGTGCACGATCTCCAAGGTTATTGTTATGTGTCTTGGGTTTCTTCCCTTTGGTTGCACATCCAGCCTGCATCGCAACGTTCTTCAATTTATTTTGTGCATTTGTACATGAATTAAAAAAATCGATGACTTCCAAATAATGTAACATACCTTAGCTTTAGTTGAACTCGATTCCAATGGCGATTTATTCCGAAGTTTTTTAGGAGCCCCTTTTCTCTTTGCGCATTTTGGATCCCATACGCCACCGCAACTACTGTCATTATCTTGTGACGCTGCACACTGAGGTGCTAAATGCGTGGACAAGACATTACTACTGCTACTTGACTTCGACGTCGCCATCTCTTTACATTGAATTTCAATCCACTTCAATATAGAAGATGCTTTACATTGTCATCACAAGTAATACTTGCCAACGTAGCGAATGATTTAACCATATTCTCGTACATTAATTGTGCAAGGGTACTGACCAACCTGTCGTAATTCACTGCAACCTTCGTGTGGGGTCATATTCTCATATCCACCTGCTTCGACAACTGCGGAGTTGTAACTTTTGTGCAGTGGTATTCCTGTAATGTCATTTACTTCAAGTCGTCGTTTCACCTGAGCACTTAGCTCTCTATTATAACGATACAATCTGAACTTCGAAGGACTTATTCCGTGGTTATGATCGAGGTGTACTGTATTAATTCTCCAAATTTCCTTAATATCTGAACATGCAGTCAATATGGCTTTACATCCACTCTGCATGGTAGCTGCCGGCCTCAGAGAAACACTTGTATTATTGACTTTTTTCGCTTCACTGCTGCAAACAAATGTAACATATCGCATAACTCCATCATCATCCCTTTTCGAATTTCTTTTTCCCACTGAAAAACCCAAGTCATATGCATATCTTTTATAAAACTCGAAAAGTTCATTCTCATCCTTAAACTTCATGCCCACCTCAGGCACAACCGCACCATCACCTCCTGTTGCACCGTTACCCAGTACTTTCATATTCTCGATAACATTTTCGTCATCTAACTCCAACATAGCAGCTCCAACGTCATTCGAAATTTCATTCCCTGTGACATAAACCCGATCGAAACTTTATTAGTAGCCCTCTTTAAGTGAACTATTTTTAAAGACAATTGATGCAATATATTTATTTATGGTCATCTATAACATTTACAAATTGCAACATATTTAGTTAAAGACATTTTCACTTATGTATCTATTCTCCAGTACTAGATGAAGCTGCTGGTACTAACAGAGACAGATTCTTCCAAAAATGAAAAAAAAAAAAATCCTTCCTAAATCATGATGCTTGGTATGTTTGCTTCTACTCGCATATAAAATGGAGTTCGACTCATTCAACCAAAGAATCAAAATAAATTTTAATTAATCACCCAGCATGTTTGCTTTTACTTGCATAAAAAATGGAGTTCGACTCATTCAACCAAAGAATCAAAATAAATTTTAATTAATCACCCAGCATGTTTGCTTTTACTTGCATAAAAAATGGAGTTCGACTCATTCAACCAAAGAATCAAAATAAATTTTAATTAATCACCCAGCATGTTTGCTTTTACTTGCATAAAAAATGGAGTTCGACTCATTCAACCAAAGAATCAAAATAAATTTTAATTAATCACCCAGCATGTTTGCTTTTACTTGCATAAAAAATGGAGTTCGACTCATTCAACCAAAGAATCAAAATAAATTTTAATTAATCACCCAGCATGTTTGCTTTTACTTGCATAAAAAATGGAGTTCGACTCATTCAACCAAAGAATCAAAATAAATTTTAATTAATCACCCAGCATGTTTGCTTTTACTTGCATAAAAAATGGAGTTCGACTCATTCAACCAAAGAATCAAAATAAATTTTAATTAATCACCCAGCATGTTTGCTTTTACTTGCATAAAAAATGGAGTTCGACTCATTCAACAAAGAATCAAAATAAATTTCAAATTTTACCTTCTCCTGTCATCTTCAACAAAACAAGCGAAGGTCAGAGCTAATGTGGCGAAATGGTCGGAGATATGGCGGAAGCAAAGTGGATCGAATGGTAGGAGTGGAAGTGAAATAGGCCCACTAGTCGGAGCTGGCCGAAGGTCCAAGACACAACACCGTAGCTACTCGATCGAACTCACTGTGGAAAGGGAAAAACCAAATAAAAATGGCTACTTAACATTCTGAAGATGGGATTTCCCAACAGAGGCGAAGAAGCTTACCATGGAAATGGGAAACTGGAGGGTGAAAAATGTGGGAAAAATGGGCGCCTAAATGTCTGAGAATGGAAAAGGGTTTCATTTGGAGTGGGGACCACATTGTTGACTTCATAACCCATTTAGTAAGTTTTCCATTTCTTTTCTTTTTAAAATCCAAGTCATTCTGTCATGTTACATGTCAAAGATTATGTTGGACTAACATTTTCCAAGAACTGATGGTGGATGTTTCTTCGTGCTGTACGGAGGTGGCACTTAAGGTTAGTTCAGACCAGAATATTTTGTTAACAAGCGCATCCATACATCAATGCTTACATTATCCTTCAACTAGATTATTCTATTCCATCTCTTAGAGTATGTATGGCTACGATTAAGTTTACTTATAATAAGTAAATAAGTTTTAAACATGTAGTTTTTGCATTGACCAAAATTTAAAATAAGTCCTTGTTTGAAACTGATTTTTTCAAAAAAAAATAAAAATAAAAATATATATATATATATACACTCATTTTTAACTACACATTTTTCAAAAAAATTATTTTTTACATTTCCTCGTAACTTTTCCGTAATTTTTTATCCACAAATTTTTTTAAAAAAAAAAAAAATCACTTTTCACAAAACCACTTCTCATGAAATCAACTTCATAATGGCTTATTTTGATAGTAAAATTACTTCTTTTTCAGCTTAGCCTAATACGCTTTCAGAGAGAGGAACTTGAATGCTATGCAGGCTTTTGTTTACCAAGGGTTCAAAAGATTGGTTTTGCATCATATTAAAAGGATTCCTTGTTTCATTGTACTATCATCAAATGAAGTATCATCAGATTGCCCTCTCTCATTTTCTTCGATGGAGAGAGGGTTTCGATCCCATTATCCTTAACCGTTCTTTAATAAACCCCTTTAATTCCCTCCACATAATTTCTTTTTGGGTAGCTAGAGGGCGGTTGTACCATCTGTTTTCATCATATGGAATTGTTCGCGCTGGTTAAGTCGCTAACAATTAAAAAGGATCAGACGATTGTGCAAGGGGCGAAACCTCTTGAGAAAAAGTCCCAAAAAGGGGTGTTCTTTTATTGGCGATGAACGTTACAATTGGGAATGAAAAACAACGTGCCTCCAAGGAGCGCAAGCACACGAGTTACAGAAAGAAAAATGTTTAAGTCTAAAAGCTAAGGAAATGAAAATTACATATTCTCTGTTCGAGAGTTTTGGATTCGGTCCTTTGCTTCTGCGTCCTTTCTCCCTTTTATACCTCATAGACGATCTCTTTGTGATTAACTACCCCAAAAACTGCTTGATCGTCCTATAACCACTCACTTTCTTTGTAGTGGCCATTTTGTCATGAAACTGCCTTTTAACTGTTGCCATTATCTTTCATCGTTCAACTGCTTTCGATTGAATTCCTTGAGTCGTGGAACGTGATAAGGCTACTTTAACAACTGCCTTGATAACTGCATTCTTTGATAACCACGATGCGTTATATTTGTTGATACCTTGGGCGACTTGAAGGTTTGGGCGAGAGTAGAATAACAGCTCTGGACGACCGTATGACACCCCATTCGTTCAGATTTTGGGCGACTTGTAAACTTGGGCGATGGCGTTACCGCATTCTTGAGCCCCTTATTTGGGCCTTCACCTTGATTCGTTCGATTGGACTTCGTTCTTTGGGCTATCCGATTTGAGGATCCTTCAATTGGGCTTTACTCCTTGGGCTGTTCGATTTGGGCTGAATTTTTATGTGTCAACAATTACCCCCCAATATGGCAGAATTAATAATAATTATTAGATTTTGCCATATTCACTTTGTGTTTCCAGTAACATTCGAAACTCCCAAGAATTTCAATCATTGTTTTCTTCTATAACTTGAAAAAGTGCGTCGTTTTGCAAACCCTTATAAACCCCAAACACGCCATTTCACTGCTACCAAATCACGCCTCATATTTTCTGCATCTCTTTCACGATTCACTGTTCATCTTTTGCTTCTTTGTTACGTAACCCTGAAAAGTTTCGTTCATTCTCCAATGGCTGCTTCACAATCTCAAACTAGCGATTCCTTTAGTTTTGATGACTTTCAGAAACTTCTGAGTCGCCCATACATAACCCCAAGTTTTCTCGCTCCTGCCGACGTTGGACGTAATGAGTTTTACTTGG